CGCGTTTTTTTTAATAAAACGTGCTAGACGCGTCTAAACGCATCTCGGTACGACGCGTTTAGACGCGTCTGACAATTTTTTTCTGAAAAAAACGCGTTTAGACGCGTCTTTTCCAAAACAAACGCGTTTAAACGCGTCTTTTCAGACGCAATGAATTTACATGGGTTACAAAAAAACTTTCTGAACTTATTTTCTTATGCAAAAATGCTAGTAAAATTGTGAAAACAGAAAATCTTCTACCGAGAAGCGCTGAAAAGTAAAATACAACTGTCTCTCTCTCTCTCTCTCTTTACTTTATAGACAATCGTAATATCACAGGTCGACTCAGACTTTTCAAACAAGCTTTATCTTTTCATTTATTTAATTAATGGTATGTTAGATAATGCAAATGATTCACATTAGCATGCGTTTTTCCTTTTCGCACTCACTACTTCTTAAATTGCTTATCATTTTTCAGTTAAAAGTGGTTTATCGTTTACTTGGCAAAATGCTTACTCACATAAACAACTTATTCGCAAGCACTTCAGCATAATTTATTATATTTTAGACTATGGTAAATGATAAAACAATATCCATAGATTTTCTTTCAAAGGTTAAATCAACGTCAGCTATAAGTCTTTTTGAGATTTAACGGACCTTCGAAAGGTGAGAGTACATTTTTTAATCTTCAAAGGTGAAGCAAAAATATTTTGATACCGCTAAAACAGTAAACTTTTCCCTCACGAAAATTCAGTCAGAGCAGGAGAAAGTGTCCATCATAAAGCTTAATTCATAAAAAATCCCTTCATAGAATTATAATGAGTTGTTCTACTAGAACTTTTAGTTTGGTCACTGATGAATGGAATAAAGATGAGACGAAGACCAGTTTTCATGCGTTTTGAATGAAGTATTAAAAACCTGCCGCTCATTAGCCAATAATGAGCAAGAGGCATCTCCGAGCACACGTTTCACAATATCTGACTGCCAGTGCATCTGCATTAGCGAGCGCACAGTCAGTTTGCATCATTCAGACTGATCTGTGCAATACTCACCATCGCGTGCGCTCTTCCTGTCTTCCACTAAGACTGATAGCACCGCGATAGAGTCCTGCGGGACAAACTTTTCTGTTACCCCTTGCCCATGAGCCGAAGCCCGAACAACGATAGTATTCTGCTATTTTAGTATTCTGCTATTCTAGTATTCTGCTATTCTACTATTCTGCTATTCTACTATTGTACTATTCTGCTATTCTGCTATTCCACTATTCTGCTCTTCTACTATTCTGCTATTCTACTGTTCTCCTATTCTCCTACTCTCTAAAAAATATCCGTAGTTTACAAAATGCAGAAGCGTTTTTATTTCGATGAAAAACGAAAAATGGTTTTATATTATTTTGTAAAACGAATAAACGTTTTCGCATTCAATGAAAAACGTATGAAAAGCGTTCTGCATTCAGATGAAATACCGAAACCTTTTTCCACGAAGAAAAGAAACGTTTGATCATTGCCAGTGATCATACAAAATTGATGCTGGTTTTTTAAAGTACAGTTCTTGTACTGGTATCGCAAGCAAAGTCGTTTTTCATACATTGAACAAAATCAAAACGTATTTCAATGCAGATAAGAAACGTACATGGTCACTGACCGTTTTTTTTGAGTTACAAAACGTTTTAACTTTATGGCGGCTTCATAGACGTGTCAGTCGGTATCCTAAAGTACTAATATGAGTTTTGTATTATTGATACAAAACCAAAATGATTTATTCTTTCTCAGTGGCAACGTATTTTACCGAATCGAAGAAAGACAGCGGGAGATAATCAAACAAATTTTTAAAGGCGTGTCGTATCTTAGTAACTCCAGTTTATTATACTAGGTACTTAGAGAAAAAGGTTTTTGATTTACTGTGTTTTTTCCTGCTAGTAGCGCTCTCTGCCTTCTGTGTGATGATTGGTTGAGACGAAAACAAAGACAGCAGTATTGTCTTTAAAACCAACAAAACGAAAATACTTTTTTTTCTTTTCTTCTGAACAGATTTGTAATTGAAAAAATTTGGTAAACATTGAAAAAACTTTCTTTTACTGTGATTTAAAATGTGTGATTTTTCTCTTACTATGCCTCAGGAATGTGTGTAGTTTTCGTTTTGGCCTCTTTTCTTTTTGTTGAAGCAGCGTTTTCCTTTCGCCCAATTTTGAGAAATAACGGGCTGGGGCAGACCGACGAAAAAGCTGCGAGACCGAGGGCAAAATAGCCATTTTCTCGCTATTTTCGATTATTAAGGGAAATGGGCGGTGTTGTAATCTAAGTATTTTTCTGCTTCCTTCTTACACTTATTTAGTGTTTTTATCTGTTCTTCTCGAAACATCAGATTCGCATAATAAAAAGAAATAAACTGATTCTTTGTCTGACATGATACTTTTTATCGATTTGCAACGAACGTTTATTTTCAATAAGTTTCTCAATTTGAGATTTTTTTACAACTGCATTGATTTTTATCGGACATAGCCGTTTATTTAATTAATTGATACACTTCCCTTATAGTAAAACTTCGGTGAAAGCTTCAGATTAATCTCAACTAATCAAGCTGATTAACCGCGCCCGATCACCAAAAAAAATGCCCGACCGATTGCATTTTTCAAAAAACTCCTGATTACTCACCATTAATCTCCCAAACTAACGTAGTGTTGTCGATATGGGTTTTTATTTATCTGACGAGCAGAAACATGCATATTGATCCCAATAAACTAACAAGTCAATTCTAAGCGTTATTTTATAACCAATGAAAAGATACAATCCAACTGTCCACAAAAAACACAGTTGCAACTCTTTCCTCTAGAAAACTCTTCAGAAAGAGAAACGATTAATCGTACCCTACAAAACGGTTAGACCGATGATACCGATATTAGTATTGGCATTTGCTCCTAATAGAAACGGATTATCCGTATCATAGAAAGAGGAAAACCGATAATGAATCCTACAAAACGGTTAGACCGGTCTGTAGGATACGGATATCGGTTTCTATTAGGAGCAAATGCCAAAACCTTTTTTTGGTTTTGTAGAGTACGGATATTTTTTAGAGAGTATTCTGCTATTCTCCTATTCTAGTTTTCGAATATTCTACTAGGTAAATGTTGACTGATAGATAGTAGACAGTATGAAGAGTAATGCATAATTAACGGGTGTAATGCACATCGAATGCATAATTAATATAATGCGCTGAAGTGTAAAAATTTTTCTCACTTAGAATAGTAGAATAGTAGGACAAGGGATTATTTCCGAATCTAAGAAATTCGCCCAGCCCTCATATATTTTGATGAAGAAACGTTATGCTAGGGCCCGGGATCGTGAGACAGAGATGTCTGAAAAACTCGGTTTTCTAGAATACCTAGTGACTTTAGAATTTTTTTCAAAAGCTTTTCAACCATATCATTGGAAAGCTCCTTCAGTTCTCCACAAAATGAGACGCTGACCACAGTACTAGGATGTAGTGCGAAAATGCCATAGAAAATAGGATACGGATCAAAACTTCGGCATGAAAGCGAATCAGTTTATATTCGTAATGTTAAGCAAAATGAGATGTTGGCCACGTTTCTACGATGTCGAACGACCGAATTACAGGCTGTTTAACATTACGAATATAAACTGGTTCGCTTTAATGCTTTATAATTTTTTCGCTGCGAGGGTAAAATGGCTATAATTTTTTTTCTAATAAGGCTAGAGACTTGCGATTTTCGCGATTCGGTTCACCTTGCTGAGCTCTATAATATGAAACAGGTTTCGTCACTGACGTCAAAGGTCTATGTAAATGATGGCAGGTTTTATATCGATCGACCCTATCCGTCAATGCCGAAAACATCACTCTGCACTAGTAATATCCGAAAAAATAAGCGTTCGCACTTTTAACTAGAAACGAATTACCAGCCATTTTGTAGAGTTTTAGAAAAGGTTTGTTTTGATATATAATGTAGACCACAACCCAGGTTCTTTCATGGTAAAAACACAGAAACATTATCCATCAGTATGCTTGAAAACATCACACTTCCATAGTAATATTCAGAAAAGTGAGTGTTCGCACTTCCAACTAGAAATGAGTTATCCACCATTTTGAAGAGTTTTGAAAGAGCATTCTTTCGATATATAATGTAGACCGCAACCTAGATTCTTCATGGTGCGAAAGTTGAAATACTGTCGTTGGCTATGCTGAAAAGATCAGTTTTAACCGTAATATGGCAAAAACGTATGTAACATGATGTGCGTTTAAAAGAATAAAATATTCATTCGATTAGAGTGAGTAAAAGGTATTTCATGTTTCAATTCCATAAGACATTTTTCTCATACAAAGTCGATATTTTCTAACTACGTTCATCATGACGCTGTTGTTTTTGTCACTGTTAGATTAAATTAGAAAAATTAGGAAAAATACGCAGTTGATTGCAATTAATGTTTGCAATTAATGTTGATACTGTTCGGGGTGAATGGTCACATATCAACTTGTCCTGTTCGTTCATCACTGGAAGGATCTCTCTTAAACAGATTCAGGAGCCTCCAAATAAGAAAAACGAAAATTTAAGCGCTAACCTTGAAACTACAGCAGTCATTTGATGCCTCTATTTGTTGCATAAGAAGGCGTACCTCATGAAGAACTCTGCAAACAACACCGATCCGGATTCCGACATAATACGGCATGCTTCTGGTAGGATTATGCCAGATTTCATCGGATTCCGGCATGTTCCGGTGTCGGATCTTTCAGGAACTTGTCTTCGGAATCATCGTCCTGGGTACTATCTAAACCATAGAGAAGATGCCTTGGTTGAAACGTTTTGTTTTCTGTTCCAGATGTATTTCGTTACATTTTTACTATCTACTAAACTGCAAAAACAAGTCTCAGTTTCACTAATGAATAGAATGTAAACATAATCAGAGTTGGTCTTAAAAAGCTGAACAAGTGTTTCTTCAATTACAGAATATCCTGCTACTTGTCCCGTGTCTCTTCTAGGACCATCAGTTCCAAACAGCCTAATAAATGGTAAGTCAGGCGATAAAAAGAGCTGATCAACCACGAGCCCAGTGGTATTGGAAATCAAATTCTGATCCATGGGCAACGAATGGAAATGAAGAATGGACAAAATATTCTGATATCGAATCTGCGATTATCGAAGAAGCATTTAATCAAAAGAATAGAATAAAACTAGCTGAACTGGATAATTATTCGATTAACTTAAACGAGTCCATTCAAATCAGTAAATCGGATCCAGATAAACAACGGCAAATAAAACGGGTTCTAACTAGTAGAAATGAAAGTCAAGGTTTAAGAGAAGAAAGGTTCTTTCTCACACCAGAATTGAGTAAAACGTTCACTGATGACTGGGGCAAAGAAGCTTATATTTTTCTGTCACAGTGGAAGAAAGACAAGAAACTATCTGACGCTCAAATAGTACAGCAGGCAGCGAATGGAATAATTATCGAAGGAAAGAAACTACGTCATTATTATGAGTCACAATATCTAGCTCGCCAAATAATAGCCGTGAAAAACGAAAAAAGAGAAGAAATTTACAAATGTTGCATTCAGTTATACACAATGGAATGCTTTCTATATAAACTAATAAATAAAGCACTGAGAGAAACCGACACGAGCAAAATAAACACTTTGGGACCATTTTGTTACATTCTATTCAGAAGCTGCCTAAAAACCGATACGAAACACGCAGCGAAACTTTATCGAGGTGTAAACATCGATCACAACACGATACAATCATATGCCGAAGCCATCAACCGGACCAAATGCTGGACCGGCTTTACCTCAACTAGCAAAAATCCTACGAAAGCCCAAAACTTCGGCAATACCCTATTCATTATCGACGCGACCGACAACGGTGGCTCAGATATATCCCACCTTTCACAATACGACGAAGAAGAAGTCATACTTCCTCCAGCAACAGCCTTTACAATCACACAAGTCAAGCAAACAACAATAAAAAAACTATATTTATTTGAAACTACTGGATAATATCTATACTACAAATACGCCAAATTTCCTACCTCTCTTCGCCAATTCCGCCGTCAGATGAGCAATGCTATGACGAAAGTGAAATGTCATGTAGTGCAACCGAACATCTCGGAAGAAGATGAATAATTTCGTTATGATCGGCATTTTTCACTAGCTGCATCATCACTGCGTCAGTCATTGGTGACCTCGTCGACGTCAGGTGAGCATTGCTGTGACAGAAGTGAAATGTCATCTGGTATCATCGAACATCTAGGAGACATATGAATAGGCTGCTGATTGGCATTCTTCAGTAGTTGGATCATCATTGAGTCAGTTGTTGCACACATCGTCGTCCTGAGATGAGCATTGCGATGACGGAAGTGAAATGTTATCTGCTGCCATGGACCATCTAGGAGATACATGAATAGTCTGCTGATCGGCATTCTTCACTAGCTGCCTCATGAGTACGTCAGTTCTTGGTGACCTCGTTGTCGTCAGATGAGCAGTGCTGTGACGAAAGTGAAATCTCATCTGGTGCCATCAGACATCTAGCAGATAGATGAATAGTCTGTTCGTTGGTATTGTCCACTAGCTGCATCATCATTTAGTCAGTTCTTGGTGACCTCGTCGTCGTCACGTCAGCATTGCTGTGACGAATGTGGAATGTCACCTGGTGCAATGGAACTTCTAGGACAGACATGAGTAGTCTGCTGATTGGCATTCTACACTAGCAACATCATTAGTAAGTCAGTTCTTGGTAACCTCGTCGTCGTCAGATCCGCATTCCTGTGGCGAAAGTGGAATGTCACCTGGTGCCAAGGAACAGCAAGGGGATAGATCAATAGTCTGGTGCTCTTTGGCATTCTTCATTAGCTGCATCATCATTGAGTCAGTTGCTGGTGACCTCGTCGTGGTCACATGAGCATCGCTGTGACGAAAGTGGAATGCTACCTCGTGGCAAGGAACATCCAGGGATAGATCAATACTCTGCTGCTTGGCATTGTTCACTAGCTGCGTCATCATTGAGTCAGCTATCGGTGACTTCGTGGTCGTCGTATGATACGCCGTGATGAAACTCAAATTTCACCGAGTGCCATAGAATATCCAGGATATATATAAATATTTTCGTTATTTCCATTCTTCGCTAGCTGCGTCATCATTCAATCAGTTGTTGCTGACCTCCTTGTCGTCAGTTGAGCATTGTTCTGACGAAAGCGAAATGCCATCTGCCATCGAAGATCTAAGAGATAGACGAACAGTTTCGTTATATGCATTCTTCAGTAGCTGCACCATCAATGAGTGAGTTGTTGGTGACCTCGTCGTTGTCACATCAGCATTGCTGGGACGAAAGTGAAATGTCATCTAGTGCAACCGAACATCTCGGAAGGAGATGAATAGTTTCGTTATTTGCATTCTTCACCACCTGCATCACTACTGAGTCACCTTTTAATGACCTCGTCGTCGTCAGACAAGCATTGCTGTGACGAAAGTGAAATGTCATCTGGTGCCATGGAACATCTAGGAGACAGATGAATACTCTGCTGGTTGCCATTCTTCACTAGCTGCATCATCATGGGGTCGGTTGTCGGTGACCTCGTCGTCGTGAAATCAGCATTGCTGTGACAAACGTGAAATGCCATCTGGTGCCATCAGACATCTAGCCGATACATTAATAGTCCGCTGTTCGTGGTTCTTGGCATTCTTCAGTAGCTGGATCATCATTGAGTCATTTGTTGCACACCTCGTCGTCCTGAGATCAGCATTGCTCTGACGAAAGTGAAATGTCATCTGGTGCCATGTAACACCTAGGAGATACATGCGTAGTCCCTTCGTGTTCGTTGGCATTCTTCATTAACTGCATCATCATTGCGTTAGTTGCTGGTGACCTCGTCGTCGTTACATGATCATTGCTGTGCCGAAACTGAAATGTCATCCGGGTCCGTGGAACATCCAGGAGATAGATGGATAGTCTGATGATTGGCATTGTGCACTACCTGCATCTTCACTGAGTCAGTTGTTGGTGACCTTGTCGTGGTGTGATGAGCATTGCGGTGAGTAAAGTGAAATGTCATCTGGTGCCATAGAACATCTAGGAGATACATGAATAGTGTGCTGATTGGCATGCTTCACTAGCTGGATCAGCATTGAGTCAGTTGCTGGTGACCTCATCGTCGTCAGATGACGATTGCTGTGACGGAAATGAAATGTCACCGGGTGCCATGGATCATGTAGGAGATAGATGGATAGTCTGATGACTGATTGGCATTCTTCGCTAGCCGCATCAGCATTGAGTCAGTTGTTTGGTGACGTCGTCGTCGTCAGATGAGCTTTGCTGTGACGAAGATTAAATGTCATCTAGTGGTATGGAACATCTAGGAGATAGATGGATAGTCGGATGATTGGCATTGTTCACTACCTGCATATTCACTGAATCAGTTGTTGGCGACCTCGTCGTGGTCAGATCAGCATTGCGGTGAGTAAAGTGAAATGTCATCTAGTGGTATGGAACATCTAGGAGATAGATGGATAGTCTGATGATGATTGGCATGCTTCACTAGCCGGATCAGCATTGAGTCAGTTGCTGGTGACCTCATCGTCGTCAGATGACGATTGCTGTGACGGAAATGAAATGTCACCGGGTGCCATGGATCATGTAGAAGATAGATGGATAGTCTGATGATTGGCATTGTTCACTACCTGCATCTTCACTGAATCAGTTGTTGGCGACCTCGTGGTGGTCATATCAGCATTGCGGTGAGTAAAGTGAAATGTCAGCTGGTGCCATGGAACATCTAGGAGATAGGTGAACTGTGTGATGGTGTTGATCGTTTGTGAATTGCGGTGGCGTTGATGGGACCGTTAGATCGGGTTTTTGAAAGCAAAGATGTGGCATTTGGGAAATATTTTCAACAATTGTCGGGTTGGAAAACTCTCGGACTCACCTGATTTATGCAGTATTGTATTGGTTATGGTATATAACTAAATAAATATTTGAAATTGTCATCTGTTTGTTTCTCTATTTTGTGCATTTTATTTTATATTATTTATCCACGACTTTTGATCATACATGTATACTTTCATTATGCTTTTTATTCAATTTATTGTAAATAATGGATGACAATGTCTGCTTGGTTTTATTATAATATTGAATGTAAACTATTGCTGTATTTTAATATGTTAATATTATTTGATACTCGTTTGTGTAGTCGAAGACTACCTAGCATCATTACGAAACTATTCATCTATGTCCGAGATGTTCCGTTTTATGGTAAAATTCCCAAAGTTAAGTAATCTGTTGTTACTGAATTACAAGAGTTTAAAACTGACAAATTTTCAAAATGGCAGAATCCAGGCTTTTCGGGGCTTTTCGTAAAATTTCAATATCTTAGCAACTATGTAACTTTTTGATTTCCGCTTTTTACCAAAATTCATTAAAATGTTTGATCTACAAGAGGCCCCTAGTTTCAAAAAGTATTGTGAATATCGATTGAAGATGATCGGTCTTGGCTTACGTGCAATGTCTCTTAAGAAGGAATCTCAAGTCTCAGGGTCACCTCGTATTTTATACAGAATTAAATGGTGAATCTTTTGCCAAAAAACAGCTGAATTTTATTATATCTAATTCATATAGATAACGTCAATTTACAGAGGGGGATCATAACTTAGTAGACATCTTTTATATTACTGTGTAGTATTTTCATTATGTGAATGAAATAATGATATTAAAGAGACTGTAGCGATCAAAGAGATAGAGACATTTGGATATCAAATTTCCACTAAATATGTCATTTTCATAATATTTTCCGTTGTTACTTTTTAAAATGATTTCATTTTTATCACGAATCCTTAATAAGTTTATTCTACAGTACATTTCATTAAATATGAAAATTTGTTTCTTTGCTAAAATTGTGCATACATTCAAATCGGAAATACATAAACAATTCTCGAGCATTGCTACTGCCAACTGTTCCGGTTAGTTCCTTAATATTATGACAATTGCACTTAACCTTTTAAGTCCCCAAGGCTTCAACGCGGGGTTTTGGGTCAACCACTTATGAAAATGCAACATATGAGAGCTCGATATGACTTTCTCACTCTTGAAAAAAATTACTTTTCATTTTTAAAAAAGCGTTTATAATTTAAATTTACGATGAAAATTTGAAGAAAATTATTTTTTCGAAAATTCTCGTTAGAAACCAAAGACCAAAGACCAATGGTGTTTAGACCATTATGTTTGATGAAGTTGAGACAGAAAATGAGCTGAGATAGTGAAGAAAATCAAGAATAGTCAAGAAACGGAGCCCTAAATCCCAGCAAAATACGCCCTTTCGTTTTGTATCATCAGCAGCCTACAATTTTCGACAATAATTTATTCAACTGGCATAATTTGAAAGAGCACATCTCCCTACATATTTCTGAAAAGTCATTGAACAAACAGCCCTTTCTAAAGCACCTGAAAAAAGTAAATTAAAAAAAGTGAATTTTTTCTAAATCTTCTTCGTTTTAAAATTCGAATATCTCAGCTAGCATACGACATAACCGATTTTTTTTAACCATTCGGTAGCCAATTTAATTCTCTACAACCGATATAAGATCAGTTTTTCCCAACAATGCTTCCTTAGTTTGTTATAATGATAATGGCAATGTCCATTCAAATGGACATTGGGCATTAAAGGGTTAAAATAGGTTACGTTTGAAATAAAATTAGTAGTTAAACTTTCTGCAGTAATTTTTGTCCCATCTTTTATCTGTAAAAACTGATGTAGACCGTTATTTCAATGCGTATTTCGTTGCACTCTTCCTGTATTACTTGCTTCTACAGGAGCAATTTTACCATTTTTAACAGTATAATGTTGCTCATTTTTACATTTATATTTAGTATGAATAGCGCTATCAATCCCTTTCTTCAGCTATATGCTTTTCGGTACAATCTATAATAAATTTTTCCTTTCGTCCTTCGATGTGGTAAGCTTGTCTTACAATGTCGGATTTTATTTTACAGTCGTCGTCAAGCATATCTGGCTATTGTATAAAAAAAGCTTTCCCATTAATTTCCTTAATAAATTTAGCAAGTTCTCCTATCTGTATCCATAGTGCCGCTGAAAGCGGTTCTGAATGATCCATTGCTGGCATAGGCGTAGACAACATATAACAATGTGCTTTTTAATGTCAATAAGCACTGAAACAACTAAAATCGAAGTTTTAATGCAACAGATGAGCATCCTCATCGACATCGAATAAGAGCGTCTGTTTCAGATCAAAAATTCGTAGCACACATCTACGAGCATGCATGTGATTCATAATCACTTGCTGGCTTCTTCGTGGATTAAAGAATCATTTGGGAAAGTTGAGCAAAACCAACCTGTTAAACTAACCTCAGCAAGTAGGATAGTAACAATCAGCACACACCAACAAAGAGACGAACCAGTTTTCTCAATAATAATATAATTCTTCTTTTTCCGATGATATAGTGTGTGCACCTATAAAAAGATAATTAAAAATGTGAGAAAAATCTCTCACTGGTAACAGACCCAAGTCTATATAGAGTGACAATCAGCGGTAAGGATTCTAATTTGCTCTAAAAGAAAACGCAATAGCTTTAAATTAAATAAGAAATAAGAGAGAGAGATGTTGAATCAATGACGAACAGGAGAAACACCGATTTCTTCAGGAAAAAGCATGAAGTTCTTCTGAAGAAACAGAGATGTCTTCTAGAAAAAACATGAAGTTATTGTGGAGAAACACCGATTTCTTCAGGAAAAAACAGGAAGTTCTTGTGAAGAAACACCGATTTCTTGAAGAATAATCAAAAAGGTATTGTGTAGAAAAATGTTTCCTCACTAGCACTTCATGTTTTTGTTAAAGAAATCTCCGTTTCTTCAGAAGAACGTCATGTATTTTCTTGAAGAAATCGGTGTTTCTCCACAATACCTTCATGTTTTTTCGTCAAGAAATCAGTGTCTCTTCAGAAGAACTTCATCTTTTTTCGTCAAGAAATCAGTGCTACTTCAGAAGAACTTCATGTTTATGAGTAAGGAAATAATGCAAAACTTCGAACTTTTTCTATGTT